GATAAAAGTAATTAAAATTCATCCAGAGCCACTCCTCGAAGGAAGATTGGGCAATCTACTTCCATAGAGATACCGCCTCAGAAACCCAAGGAGGGGTGCTATGAGTCTGAAACTGAATCCATGGCACATGTTTATGGGGAAGGTCAAAAAACAAAACTGAACTCACTGCCATCTAGTGGATTCCGACTCATAGTGACCCACATTAGGTTTCCAAGATGAAATTTTTACAGAAGCAGACTGCCTCATCTTTCTCCCATGGAGCAGCCAGTGGTTTCGAACCACTGACCTTTTGGTTAACAGCCAAATACCTTAACCACTACACCACAATTGCTCCCTATGGGAAAGATAAAAAATAATAATAAATAATTGTTGTTGTGGGCAGCTGTCAGGAACAAAACACTGCCCGGTCCTGCACCATCCTCATGATCAGTTGGGAGGAATGGCCTGTTGTAATCTATAGGAATTTTGAAAGTAGATCACCAGGTCTTTCTTCCTCGTCTATCTTAGCCTAGAAACTCCGCTGAAACCTGTTCAGCATCATAGCATGTAAAAGCCTTTACTGACAGACAAGTGGTGGTTGTGCATGAGGTGAATTGGTTGAAAATTGAACCCAGGTTTCCTGTGAGGAAGGTGAGAATTCTACCACTGAATGACCAATGCACCTCAAACAATAATAAGATGATTTCAGTAAATCATAAATATCATAAATGTAAATCTATCTATCTATCATGCAACTAGTCATGGGGATTGAATGGCTTGATCGATCAGGAAGGGGGTCTCTAAGGAGGAGGCATTTAAACACAGACCAGCCAAGGAGGGGACATTTACAACACAGACCACAAGGAGGATCTCTTGACTTAGTATCCATGGAGCAACCACTAGATCTTATTAGATAATGAGTTTCAGGTCTCAGGGTAATATATTCTCTTCTTAACCAATGGCCAGAGTTCATAAGGACTGAAATAAATAATAGTGAGGAAGGGTGGGAGCTACTGGAGACAGAAGCAATATTGTGAGTTAGGTCTTGGTGGATATTTCATCAGTAGTGTCACCACTACTTAGTTCTAGGAGAAGGCAATGTGAAGCAGCCAGGCCAGTGGAGGAATTGCATCACACACGGAACTTTGGTCTAGAGCATTGATTCTGGTGGACCGGATACCATGGGAACCGGATGGCCCCAATGTCCTACAATGGAAAACTGTTTACTCTTAGTCACCAGAAGGACACAGGGTTAGACACAGTTAAATCTATTATCACTATCAGCCAGACCAACACGTTCTAACTGACTTGCTGTCGTCATTTTTTCCCCAATAGTAGTTCAATGCCCTGTGAATGTTGTGCCTTCAGAAGAAAAAGATTTTTTACTGAAATGAATTATTCATGAACAAAGGAATCTTTGTTCACTTCATACATCTACTACTCTTTTATTCTTACTATACAATAAGGTTGAATGCATTTTATTTGATATAGCTGCTGTATAATCAGGGAAAAATTGCTGGAAAAGAAGATTTATTTTAGATATATTCTAACCTGGGGTCACAGAGTTGCTAGAAACTTATATTGTTAAGTGTGTTTAGAGCAGAACTTTCACATGTCTTAAAATTATGACTTTCTAGAAATCTCATCAGTGCTTAGCACAGACCTTAACATAATAAGGAAATGTAAGACATGGCTTCTTTCATTAAGAAACTTTCAGCTTAGTTGAAGAAAAGGCTAAAAGACACAATTTTTAAGTGCTGTTGTTGTTGTAGTTATGTACCGTTGAGTCAAACCCGACTCATAGCGACCCCTCCTTGGGTTTCCGAGGCAGTATCACTACGGAAGTAGGATTGCCCAACCTTCCTTCCGAGGAGTGGCTGGTGGGTTTGAACCGCCAGCCGTCTGGTTAGCAGGCAAGTGTCTTAGCCATTATGCTACCAGAACTCCCAAGTGCTGTTGAGTCAGTCCCGATTCCTACTGACAGAAAGAAGCACTGCCCAGTTCTGTGCCATCCTCAGCTTCATTGCTGCATTTGAGCCCGTTGTGGCACCCACTGTGTCAATCAATCTTTTTGAGGGCCTTCCTCTTTTTTACTTACCCTCTATTTTACCCATTATGATTTTCTTCTCCAGAGACTGGTCCCTTCTGATAACATATCCAAAGAACATGAGACAAAGTCTCACCATTCTCCCTTTTAAGGAACATTCTGGCTGTACTTCTTCCAAGATAAATTTGTTCATTCTTCTGGCAGTCCATTGAATAGTCAGTAGTCTTTGCCAGCACTATAACCCAATGCATCAATTCTTCTTCAATCTTCCTTAGTCATTGTCCAGCTTTCCCATGCATGTGTGGTGATTCAAAATACCATGACTTGGGTCAGGCACACTTTCCTATCAAAGTACATCTTTGCTTTTAAACCCTTTAAAGAAGTCTTTTTCAGCAGATTTGCCCAACACAATGCATCATTTGATTTATTGACTGCTTTTTCCATGGATATTGATTGTGGATCCGAATCAGGTGAAATAATTGACAGCTTCATTCTTTCCTGCATGTATCATGATGTTGCTCATTGGTCCAGTGTGAGGATTTTTGTTTTCTTTATGTTGAAGTGCAATCCATACTGAAGGCAGTTGTCTTTGATTTTCATCAGTAAATGCTTAAGTCCTCTTCACTTGCAATAAGCAAGGTTGTATCATGTGCCTATTGCAGGTTGTTATTGAGTCTTCCTTCAAACCTGATGCTGTGATGTTCTAAATATAGTCCAGTTCCTCAGATTATTTGCTCAGCAAATAGATTGAACAAGTATATGAAAGGATACAAGCTTGACACAGTAGTAGGCAGCAATATAGGTAGTAAAAGATTAAGTAATAATATGCAATGGACTGTGGAGGTTATGTGGGACAGCAGAGGAATCTGGACTCAGCAAATAGTTGTTAATGGGAAAAATTGGATTTAATAATGGGTAGGATTTAGAGAAGGGGGAACATGCCCAGAGCTGGACATGGGAGGGAGCATCTTTATGAGACAGGATGGGGACATGAGCAAATTCAGCTGTGGTTCATTTTGGGAACTGATGGGAAGTGGTCAGATTGAAATTGCATCATGTCTACAATGGGCATGTCAAGTTGTATCAGCTACAGATGCCTAAATGAAGAATTTTGTAAGACTTTGATATATATTGATTTTTCTGTTTTTCTCAGGACATAGACAAATTATTGATGATTTATAAATCTTTTTTGTCTTACTTGAATAGAATATCTTGATGGTTTATAGGGTGTGTGGGTGAGTGAGTTTGAATATAAAGACTGCCAGAAAGCCTCCTTATTCAACACAAAGTTGTCTCAAGGTCATTGAGAGGACACTACAAATAGAGAACTATCTTAAGGCTGTTCCTGTCTACCACCTCATGGAGAAACAATTTATTTCTATGCAATTTATTTTTGGTGATTTTCTCAGAGAAGATAAGTCTTCCAAGTCATTCTAGTATCCCAGCAAAACAGTTTATAATCTTCCTTTATGCTTTTTATATTTATATTTGTACAGTTTTAAAAACTGTATTGTCATACTATTAGTCACATCCTGATGTTTGTTCCTCATGTACACTGGATCCAAAGTTTGCCTTCAGTTATGAATTAACCCCTCACCAGAACATATTGTACACTATGAACCCATACTTATGAAGACAATAGGCTCCTTTGTCTCCTATAGTTTGAGTCACTTAAGATTGAGTGCCTTTGATAATTCTAGAAACCCATAAATCTGATTTAGCTCTGGATCTTAAACAGAGAATTAGCATGACCTAGCCTCTTGGGTTAACACTCCAAATAAAATAAAAGAATAATAAAAGAAATAAAAGAATCCATTTACAACCCATAATGAGTGTGACTAGGACATCTAGTGACCAAATGTGGCCATACCTCCCAGTCCAGGGATTGCAATCTTAGTAGGGGCATAGGGGCCACATCTCTTCTATTCCCAAATTAAGTGGGACAATTATGAACATTTTTGCAATCCCCCAACTCTTCAACTATCAGGCCCTTGATGTTAGCATATGTTCCCATTGAACTGTGGGACCTACAAAGAGATTCCATTTTGAGGTTGTAGAGAAAGATTTATCAAAACAACTGGCTTCGAGCTATCAGAAGGGATACCTAGAAGACACTAAGGGACATTCTAGGACCTTCCCTAAGTCTCATATCCCAAATTGATTAGCGTGCTCCTGACTTATCTGAAGCAAATAGTCATATCTACAGAAATATTTGTATACTATATCTTGTAAGTTGTACCAGCCTAGTGTATAGCACGCTTTAGGATTCAAGAGTGGTAAAAAGGCAAAGGAAATATTAGGGCAACTTTCTTCTTAAGCATAAAAGTATTATTCATCACTATCTATGTCAACATAGAATAAAGAATACAAGCTTTTTCTGTACTATTTCAATTCTTTTCTGTAGGTTTTAGTTTCTCATCCATAAAACAGAGAAAAAAAATAATACTAGTGCTACAGAATTGTTACTAGATTTTGCTAACAAATATTGAGCTTTTGTAATGATGCCTGGCACATACATTATCACTCCATAAATAGTAGCTACTACAATAATGATGATGGTGATAATTCCTTCATTCCTTCTCCTTCCTTTTCTTCCATCTTTCAGTAGCTACACACATGTATTGCCAAGTAAACATGGATAAACCATTAACGTAGCCTTAGAAAGAATACATTTTTAGCAGAGAACCTGACATTCCATATAATATATCCAGGCGGCTCAATGAGGAACAAAAATGCAGTGGGAGTTTCATCATCACTTTTAGAGCCCTGTGTGTCTGTCAAGAAGTGTTCTTTAATTATAACTTCTATCAATGATCAGTGGTTTTAAAAAAGATTCTAAATTCAAATGCACTCCTATTTTATCCTGTGCTATTTTTACATTGTGGACTGCAGGAAACAGAATCCAAATGAGATGTGGGCTTTTCCCGAATATACAATAATTGGCTTGTTTTTCCTCTCTCCTTCTTCTCCATAGGTTAACCTCAGAGCCACAGACGTCAGGCTCATGCGCCAGTTGCTTGTTATCAATGAGAGCATTGAGTCCATCAAGTGGATGATTGAAGAGAAGGCCACCATTACCAGCCGAGGCAGCAGTCTCAGTGGCAGCCTGTGCAGTTTATTGGAGAGTCAGAGCACCTCCTTACGTGGCAGCTACAATAGCCTACACGATGGCAGTGATGGACTAGATGGCATCTCTGTGGGGAGCTATCTGGACACTTTGGCAGATGAAGTCCCAGGCCATCAGACCCCTTCAGACTTGGACCAATTCAGTGACAACTCCATAATAGAGGACTCACAAGCACTGCACAAGCATCCCAAATTGGATTCTGAGTACTACTGCTTTGGCTAATGACCAGTTTTTTGCATGGGACTGGTGTGCAATTAACTTGTATTTATCCTTCTTTTCTGCTGCTATTATTTTTGGTGTGATTTTTTTTTTTTTTAATATAAAGCAATCTTTTTACAAGAAGCTTATTTTGAAAGTGCTTAATGGTATTCCTGTTGCTTCTAATATTTCTCATCTATACTGATTTATTTTTCTCTTGCATCTGTATTTTTATTTATTACAAAGATTTTTCTCCCTTCTTTTTTAATGGCACAAGTGAAGTAGGGGGAAAAGAATAAGCAATAATTATGTTTTTGCTTTTGTTTTCAGAGCAAGGGGTCAGGGATTACAGGAAAAACTTTGATAAGTTTTACAATAAACCAAAGTATGATAACAGTTCATATTGTAGCCTGTATTTATTTATTTATTTAAGAACACAGCATCATCATGTCTCCTATAAGGAACACTTACTCTTGTACTGTGTTTCTTGGGACGATTGTACTAAGGAGCCCTTACTCTTTCCTATAAACCAAACCAGTGATGATTGTGTCTAGTTGTATCACAGTAGAACTGTGTTCCATAGGTTTTTTAATGCCTGTAGATTTTCTTAAATGATTCAAATAATCATCTTTTAGAATATATTGAGGATTATTGCAGTAGATATATTAGCTCAAACAAAATGCTTAGAATAAAATTAAACACTATTCTAGGCCACAGTTTCCTAGTGGATAACCAATACCACTATCGGTCACACTATCAGTCATTTGAGGCCCCCAAGTACATGTAGCCTGTTCAATGCAACTGTGAGATTATACTATAGACTAGTATTTTGTCAGCAGTGATTCCAGCTCCAACCACAGATTTAGTTGTGTGAGAATACACATAGTTTTCCTAAACGTCAAAGACTAATTAAGATGAGGTTTGAAGGGAATTAGAAGTGAAGATGATCTAAATTTAATTGTATTTTGAGATTTTGTTAATAATTATGTACATGCATTTTTCTGATAGTATGTACAAACACAAGCATATGGATCAATAGATGTATGACACATGAGAGAAACTGATAGATAATAGATATTCTTATAAATAGTGGGGAAGTAGAATTACAATTCATTTATAAAGTTTAATGTATTCATTGGGGTGAAAAAAATAATCTCTTTACTGAAGTGGCACCTAAAAGTGTTATAATTCATGTAGTGAATGAGCATTAGATTTGTTATGATAGTATTAATCCCCTATATTTATTTTTCTTTGATAGTGCCTAATGACAGAACCTAAATTTTCAGACTGGTCTTTATAATGATGTATGTTTCTGCACTAAACATTTAAAATGTGAATCAGAAAAGCTATCCTATTTATAATTGGGAAATGTCTATGTTAAAAAAAAATGTTTCAAATTTTCCTTCGTTATTACATACTTATTACATATTTGTCAAATTGATTGTTTCCAGAACATATATTATTCAATTGCCAACTACAATTTACTAGGTCCTATATTTTGCCCTGGAATCCCTGGGTGGTACAAACGATAACACACTCCCCTGCTTCCAAAAAATTGGAGATTTGAGTCTACCCAGGAGTGCTTCTGAAGAAAGGCCTGGATATCTACTTCCAAAAATAGCAGCCATTGAAAACTATACGGAACACAGTTTTATTCTTGCACAATTGGTGTTGCTGTAAGTCAAAACTGACTTGATGGCAACTAGTATATTTTGCACTAATTATTTTTCATAAATGGTTTGATTTAGTCTCAGCACAACAATCTTAGAATATTGCCATTTTATAGTTGATGAAACAGAGGCTCATAGAAGGTAGTTAACTGGATCAAATCTCCCACTAAGTGTCCCAACTGGGATTTGAACTTTGATTTGCCTGATTCAGAACAATAACACTAAATAGTTCCTTTGGGTACTCATTGAAGTTGAATAATAAAATGGTGGTAAAAACACAAATTTCAGCTCGTGACAAAAATCACTCAAAATGTAACCAACCTTTTTTCTCCCCAATCTTTGGAACCTGTGTTTTTCAATATTAAGTTTATGTAGCCCTTCCCTGAGACCACATGTCCCGAGTCAGTTTTATGCCTATAGATCAAGTAGGGAGTTGGCTTTGTTGTTGTTGTTGTTATGTGCCGTCGAGTCAGCCCTGACTCATAGCGACCCCTCCTTGGGTTTCCGAGGCAGTATCACTACGGAAGTAGGATTGCCCAACCTTCCTTCCGAGGAAGGGTTCAAACCCACCAGCCTTCTGGTTAGCAGTCAAGTGCCTTAGCCACTATGCTACCAGAGCTCCTACACACTATTATTTAATGTATTTTCCCTTTTCTGTTTATTTTTATCTTTAACTTAGTAAAGACTGGTTGGTTGTTATTTTGTTTCTGTTTAATCTGAAATTAAGCCTACTGGATTTTAGCACAGTTTTTTTTTACCAATTAAAACTCAAGAGTATGCATTATGACAAAGTAGGAAAAATATTCTTAGAACAAAGACTGAAGCATTTCAGAGCGTAATGCAATATGTAAGCAAATGTATACTACGTTACAAAGAACATTCCGAAGAAAAGAGGCATTGGGAATACAGCAAGAATATTGTTGTTAGGGTCGTTGAGCCAGCTCCAACTCATAGTGACCCTATGTACACCAGAACAAAACACTGCCCAGTCCTGGCCATCCTCACAATGCTTCCTAAACCTGAATCCATGGTTGTAGTCACTGCATCAATCCATCTCATTAAGGGTCTTCCCCTTCATTGTTGATCCTCCACTTTACTAAGCATGATATCCTTCTCCAGGGAATGGTCTCTTCTGACAACATGACCAAAATAGGTGAGACAAAGTCTGGCTATTCTCGCTTCCAAGTAGCACTCTGGCTGCACTTCTTCCAGAACAGATTTGTTTGTTCTTCTGGAAGTCCATGACATTTTCAGTATTCTTTGCCAACACCACAACTCAAAAGCATCAACTCTTTTTCGGTCTTCATTATTCATTGTCTAGTTTTCATATGCATCTGAGACGACTTACCATGGTTTGGGTTGGGTGCACCTTAGTCTTCAAAGTGATATGTTTGCTTTTCAGCACTTGAAAGAAGTCTTCTGCAGCAGATTTTCCCAGTGCAACACGTCATCTGATGTCTTGACTGCTGCTTACCTGGGTGTTGGTTGTGGATCCAAGTAATATGTAATCTTTGACAACTTCAATCTTTTCTCCATTTATTGTGATGCTGCTTATTGGGAGAATTGTGAGGATTTTCATTTTCTTTATGTTGAGGTATAATCCGTACTGCAGACTGTAGTCTTTTATCTTCACCAGTAAGTTCTTCAAGTCATCTTCAATTTCAGCAAACAAGGCTGTGTCGTCTGCATATCACATTGTTAATGAGTCTTCCTCCAATCCTGATACCACATTCTTTTTCACAGAGTCTAGCTTCTCAGACTTGCTCAGCATACACTTTGAATAATTATGGTAAAAGGGTACAACCCTGATGTGCTCTCTTCCTGATTTTAAACCATGTGGTATCCCCGTGTTCTAGCAAGAATATGTTGCTGTTGTTGTTAATGTGCCGTCGAGTAGGACCCGATTCATAATGACCTCTCCTTGGGTTTCCAAGGGAGTATCATTACAGAAGTAGATTACCCAACCTTCCTTCCAAGGAGTGGCTGGTGGGTTTGAATCACCAGCCTTCTGGTTAGCAGTCAAGTGCCTTAGGCACTATTCTGCCAGAGCTCTTCTAACTCCTCAAAACCAAACGTTTCTCTAAAATAAGCCATGCACAAGAAAGATGACTTTCTCTGAGAGATAAGTTCACAATAGTGAATTAAATCTGGTAAATTTCCTTTATACTCTCCTTTTCCAACCAGACACCCCTATTGTTTGCTAACTCCATGCCCTCTATAAATTTTCTCACAGGATTCACATGTAGAAAGAAATAAATTAGCATAAAAGTATAATATGAGAGAAACGTGTGGAGCATTATTTATATCCTCCATTTAAGGAATCTGTAATGACCATTGACAGATTTTTACTGGCTCTTTATGAGTTTCAATTCTTTCTGTGTATCACATGTATTTTACTTTTTTTGTGAAAGATAGCAAATATAGGATCTATGACTTAGATATATGGAGTCATGTATAAGCCAACACTCTTTTAATAGTTGATTTTACTAAGAGGAGGAGAGTATACAGGTTGTTGTTGTTGTTGTTAAGTGTCGTCGAGTCGTTTCCGACTCATAGCGACCCCATGCACAGCAGAACGAAACACTGCCCGATCCCGCGCCAGCCTCACAATCCCTGCTATACTTGAGCCCATCATCGCAGCCACCGTATCAATCCATCTCCTTGAAGGCCTCCCCCTCTTTGGTCGACCCTCCACCCTACCAAGCATGACATCCTTCTCCAGGGAATGGTCCCTTCTTACAACATGACCAAAATAGGTGAGATGAAGTCTGGCCATTCTTGCTTTCAAGGAGCATTCTGGCTGCACTTCCTCCAGGACAGATCTGTTAGTTCTTTTAGCAGTCCATGGTAGTTTCAGCATTCTTCGCCAGCACCACAACTCAAGAGCATCAACTCTTCTTTGGTCTTCCTTATTCATTGTCCAGCTCTCACATGCATACCAAGTGATTGGAAAGATCATGGCTTGTGTCAGGCGCACCTTAGTCCTCAAGGAGATATCCTTGCTCCTCAGCACTTGAAACAGTTCCTTCGCAGTTGACTTTCCCAATGCTACATGTCATCTAATGTCCTGACTGCTCCTTCCGTTGGCATCGATTGTAGAACCAAGCAACGCGAATTCCTTGACAACCTCAATCTTCTCTCCATTTATTGTGATGCTGCTCATTGGTCCAATTGTGAGGATTTTTGTTTTCTTTATGTTGAGATGTAATCCATACTGCAGACTGTATTCTTCAACCTTCATCAGTAGGTGCCTTAAGTCATCCTCACTTTCAGCAAGCAAAGTTGTATCGTCTGCATATCTCAGGTTGTTAATGATTCTTCCTCCAATCCTGATACCATGTTTTTCTTCATGTA